GGCGCAGCGCCTCCCCCCGCAATGCGTACCAAGAGAGAAGCACATAGGCACACGTCTCAATGGATATATTGCAAGTAAGAACGACAAGATCATGAAAGAAGCACATAGGCACAAGTCTCGATGGATATCAGCAAAGATGAAATTAACCCAAATAAACGATGATGCTTATGCAAAAAGAAAGGAATAGTAGGTAGCAAGGGGAACCGGTTAAAAAATAAAAGCGGGTGGGGGGGTGCAGGGGGGAGGGCGCAGCGCCTCCCCCCGCAATGCGTACCAAGAGAGAAGCACATAGGCACAAGTCTCGATGGATGTTTTGAAAGAAGAAGAAAGAGAAAATGAACCCTAAGAAACGATGCTTATGAGCAAAAGGCAAGAGAGTAGGTAGCAAGGGAAGCTGATGAAAAAACAAAAGCGGGTGGGGGGGTCCCCTGCAATGCGTACCAAGAAAGAACATGGAAGAAGTACATAGGCACAAGTCGCGATGGAGATCAATAAAGATGAAATGAACGCAAATAACCGATAATAAGTGTTGACTGCACACATGGTCCTTCCTTCCTTCCTTCCTTCCTTCCTTCCTTCTTTCCTTCCTTCCTTCCTTCCTTCCTTCCCTTCGTTCCCCCCTTGCATCCTTCCCTCCTTTCCTCCTTCCCTCCTTTCCTCCTTCCCTCCTTCCTTCCTTCCTTCCCTCCTTCCCTCCTTCCTTCCTTCCCTCCTTTCCTCCTTTCCTCCTTCCCTCCTTATTTCCTTTCTTCCTTCCTTCCTTCCTTCCTTCCTTCCTGCCTGCCTGCCTGCCTTCCTTCCTTCCTTCCCTCCCTCCTTTTCTCCTTTCCTCCTTCCCTCCTTCCCTCATTTCCTCCTTCCCTCCTTTCCTCCTTCCCTCCTTCCTTCCTTCCTTCCCTCCTTCCCTCCTTCCTTCCTTCCCTCCTTTCCTCCTTCCCTCCTTTCCTCCTTCCCCCCTTTCTTCATGGTCATTTATTTATTTTTGATGCATTTATAGTTTTTTTTGATGCATCTTTATTTTTTTTGATGCATTTTTATTTTTTTTGATGCTTCTCCCGATCGTTCCCAAAGAGGACCAAAACCCCTTTTCACCACGCCATTTGGTGGAAGATACCACTGTGACCGTGAATGTCATGGTCTTAGACATGCCAAGGAAGTTTGTCTGACGCCACGGTGTCACAGATGTGGCCCACAGTCAGACGTTCCCCAACATAGGCTGTATGCGATCTCACATGGATATGCACTTCATGTTGATTATGAGCATTGTCGTGATGCGGGATCCAATGGTCCACTTCGGGCCTTCAATCCATGTGCGATTTGCTGCACTGCAGATGATAGACTTGTTATGACTTGTTTAGAGGGCTTGAGCTGAATATGTGGTCAGTGGAACTGATCACATAGGGGGAGTGCGTGTAAGAATTCCATGCATCCCTATTTACCCAATTCTCAAATGGAAATACTTCCACTTTTGCTTTGACTTCAACCCACCGGGTGTTGTCCAGACTTCAACTCACCGGGTGTTGTCTAGGAATCCTGAAGAACCTGCATCTGGGCCGGGCCGAAGCCTTTTAGATGTCAAGCGGCACAAAGGTGCGTCAGCTAGCAGCGAGGTGGCTGCTTGGAGTTTTGGGGAAACTTGGTTTTGTTTTTTGGGTTGAAACATTTCTTTTTTCCGGTTGGGGTCGGGATCTCAGTTGCTGTTCAGGGTTCCAGGACGGTTCACTTGTTGGCATTGGGAGGCTTCAGGAAACACAGAAACCATGGAAACCGTGCAAACTATGAAAACCGTACAGAAATCTTGGACAACAGGGAAACCATGGAAACCGCAGACAAATCATGGAAACCATGGAAACCATGGAAACCGCAAAGAAATCATGGAAACCAAATGGAAACCATGGAAACCGCAAAGAAATGAAACCATGGAAACCGCAGACAAATCATGGAAACCATGGAAACCGCAGACAAATCATGGAAACCATGGAAACCATGGAAACCGCAGACAAATCATGGAAACCATGGAAACCATGGAAACCGCAAAGAGATCATGGAAACCATGGAAACCGCAGACAAATCATGGAAACCATGGAAAACCATGGAAACCGCAAAGAAATCATGGAAACCATGGAAACCGCACAGACATCATGGAAACCATGGAAACCATGGAAACCATGGAAACCGCAAGAAGAAATCATGAAAACCATGGAAACCGCAGACAAATCATGGAAACCATGGAAACCATGGAAACCGCAAAGAAATCATGGAAACCATGGAAACCATGGAAACCGCAAAGAGATCATGGAAACCACAAAAACCATGGAAACCGCAAAGAAAGTATGAAAACCATGGAAACCATGGAAACCACACAGATATCATGGAAACCATGGCACAGAGTGTGTCGCGTTTCAAAATGAGTAATAAAGTCGCGTTTCAAATTGAGTATTATCCCGCGTTCTAAAACGAAACCTTCCCTCAATCAACTACCAGCATGCTTCATCCGAGTCACACAAAGCAACCCATGAAGTGTTTGGGTAATGGGCTCCATGCGAATGCAATAGAGATCACCCCCAGGCACACTGCAGGGACCATTCAAGGAGAGTGGTGCAGGAGCCAGCTGGGCTTGAGCAAAGACCCGGCAAAGCTCGTACTCTTTTTGGGCGAAATCATCCAGCATCACCTTCACAACCTCCCCAGTCTCCTGCAATCTGGGACCATCCGTGGCTACAGGTCCCCACTTCATGTCTTGAGTCTTGAGTCTTGACGTGGCTCCCAATATCCAAATTACGCGGAAAATGAGCCATAGCCTCCATGGCCGGCTCCTCCTCCAGGAACACAATGCCGATGAAGCCGCTGCCCAGAACACGCAGCGCTCCCGTGGGACAGAGCAATGAGGATGGAGAGAGGGAGGCTACGGCCCGGACAGGGTCGAAGGCATGCTCTTCCATCCTTAGCCAAGTGAGTATACAGTATGAAGGCCATTAGCTGCTCGAAAAATAGGATGGTTGCTGGGAAAAGCAATTTTTAATTTCAATCATATTCAATATTTATATACATTCTTCAAAAGTGGGAGTGGTTCCCAAGTTATGCCGAGTCATGCCAACTCCTGCTCAATCAAATTTCAATCCAAGCCAACCCCCCATATTTGCCAATGGCTCAGTGCGGCGCCATCAAACCCTTTTTCAACGCGCCGGAGGTCAATTTTTGGTGATCTATGGCCTCAGCCTCCAGCCATCGGCGATCTCAGGAAGCCCCACATGAAGCTGGCGTCGGTAGACCTCTCCCAGACATGGTTGGGACGCCAGAGCCACAGGTGTCACCCCATGGCGCAGTAAGAGCTGATGAAGCTGCAGCTCCAAAGACATGGGATCCTCTAGAGTTTGGGATTCCACGTTCTTACCCCCCCAAAAAAAAACACAACCAACATCCAATAAATAAACAAGCATAATTACAGTGTTTATAATTAGCAATATTATTTGGTGCCAAATATTTGGCCTTGATGTCCAATGGAAAGTAACCATCCACCCGGTCCTCCAAGACGCAAAAGCTGGGCTGCTGATAAAGCACTCGAGCAATGCCCAGTCTTTGCTGCTCATCGCGCGTGAGGACATCTGGCCAAGATCTGCGGGCGAACCAACCATCGGCTTCTCTGGTGAGGAGATGGTCTATCTGTGTGGCAATCAAACATTGGCGCATCCGATGCAGTTGTGGAGACTCCGAACTCTCTCCAGCGATCTCACACTGCAGTTCAGTGCCACCAATGACCCGGTCTTGAGGCCTGGCAACGGCTTTGATGGTATCTTCAAAGGTACTGAAGTGGACGAGCCCCTTGCGATCACCGCCTTCCACCACCACCTGGCAACTGGAGGCTCCCAATCGAGCAAAGTGTTGTCGCAGCTCAACCTCACTGATGTGTTCATGCAGCAACGGCACCTGGACGGTGAAGGGCGCATGGGATGGCAGGCGCAGCTGCACAGGATATGCCAGCTGGGCCAGCAGCCTGCAATGGCCGGGCACGTATGGCTCCTTGCTCACCAGCATCAGCGTCTGCCGTGGCATCATGGTGCTGCGATTCATCCCCAGCAGCAGCTGCAGCATGGGTTGCTGATATCCACTGGGGCCGCAGATGAGCAGCGGCTGCTTCACAGACAGGTCAAAGCGCAGCCCATGCGCAAGCAAAGTTAATCCATCTTCATCCAGCAGTTCCTGCACTGCAAATGGCACATGGAAAAAATGGGTTGTGAAAGAAAGGAATGCTCCATGGATTCAACAATCTACCCTTGCAGTATTTCAAGTTAGAAGTTCAATGAAATTCCAGAGGAAGGGAATAGTAAGCAGACCGACCAACATGCTCAAGTGTTTTTTGATCGTCTTTATATGTCTTTAATATAATCACGTACAAAATCAAAACACCATCAAAACACCGCTCTCGAAGTCTCCTCCTCAAAGAACTGCAGCACGCCATTCGTTACCGTCGCCGGCAACGCATTCGCCGCATTCGCCACGGTCTCCGTCTCCGTCTCCGTGGCCGCCGTGGCCCGAAGGCGGCCCGTTGGGCCCGTGGTCTCCACGGCCATCACCAGCTCCAAGCAGCGCAGGCTCTGGGCGTCCAGGCGCCCAAATTTCTCCACCATCTTGGAGAGCTGCTGCACCGCTATGAAGCTGTTTTGCATCATCCTGGGGATTTTTTAGGATTTTTTTTGTTCAGAAGTGCATACATATGTACAAGATCTATATTATATATATATCTATCTATCTATCTATCGATCTATCGATCTATCTATCTATCTATCTATCTATCTATCTATCTATCAAAGTTATATTATATATCAAATTTATATACATATATGATGTGTGATTGTGTGTGATTAATATGCGTGATTCATGAATTTGATTCATATGTGGGATTCATGAATGTGATGTCCAAAGGTGCGCCAGCCACTTGCTGATGGATCGGTTTTGGGCCATCACTTTCGCCCTCTCTCTATCTCTCTATCTATTTACCTACGGACCTACCTTTACATCTATCTATCTGTGATCTATCATCAAATCTAATCTAATCTAGTCTATCCAATCCAAACCAATCTATCCTCCATCCAGCCATCCCTCCATCCATCCATGTCCATGTCTTTGTGTCTTCCAGCCATCATTTAAAACAGAAAAAACACCCAAGCCACCCAAGCGCCCCAGTCCTATCCAGCAAAAAAGTCTCGGCCAAGTCCATGGATTCACCGGAAAAGCTATCAACTTTAAACGACAGCCAGCGAAGAACCCAGGATGGCATCTGCTGAAAATCTCCCAGCGTCAACGCCAAGCGATACAACCCCCAGGACGGCAGCTCAATGTCGGCCTCGATCAACGCCTCAAACTGATCCTCCAAACTTTTGTTGCCTTGTGAGTGCGAGTTCTTCTCGTGGTTTTCCCATGCGTCACAGCATTGAAGTAATCTCAGCAGCAAGAAATGGGCCACAAAGAGCAGTGACCAACCTTGCTGGTTCATCGATCCTTTTTAAGTTTAATAAATTTCACCCGTGTCTTTACCCTTCTCACTCATCAAACATCTACAAAATAAAGAAAGCCACCCAACAAAAATTCTCTAAGGGTGGTTGGCAATCCAGCAACTGTGCAAGTTTCGCAGCAGCAGCGGTGCCAAAAAAATCAGCTGTGACGCAGCCAAGAGCGCCTCACAGGCGCTGGAGCCTAAACCCTCGAAGAGATGTTGGATCTCTGCCAGTCGCTGCATGGGCTCGGAAACCTGGCAGGTGCGCCAAAACTGGGGGAGTACCAGCCCATGGCCGCCATGGCCTTTCCCAAGTCCGGAAGAAAGTTCGATGAGTTGGATGTTCTTAGACTTTGGGACCCCTAAACCATTGGGCTTCGACTGAAAATGATCAACTTTGGATGATTTTGAGGTTCTCTGTATCTAAATACACCAATTTGTTCAGAGAAAAAGAGAATTGGATTTGATGCTCCGAAAAAACTGATTAGACCCCAGACACTTCACCAGGGTTTCGTTTGGTGGGTGATGTGGGCCTATCATATTGGGGGGATGGGGCTACCTCAAAATAGCCGACACCATGAGAAAAAAACAAGTGTTTTCCTATTAAATCAAAATTACCTCCATCATTGTCTCTCGGTATTTCCAATGTCACTTGCATAGCAGCTAGCATTGACGTTCATAATTCATAATGTGTCCATCATGCTGCACATTGGACACTCTGTCCACAAAAAAAATAAATGATTTGAAATGTGGAGTTAAGATTACTTTTTAGATTAGTTTAGATTAATTGAATTTATCTGATATAAGTTAGGGCAGATGGTTTGACCACTCCCCACCTCCTGGCTAACGCGCAGTAAGGTATGCTCCCGGAGCAACTTCCGCTGCAAATGACCCATGGCACCACTCCAGAGCTCCAGGGTGGCCAGTTTGGCCTGATATCGGAGCACCTGATCTGCAAAGCCTCCTGTCACCGCTAGCACTGCACCCAAAAGTAGCTCTTTGGCCATGGCACTGGGCTTCGGTGACAGTAAGGCTTTCAGAGAACCCGAAAGAGTCTGACAGAATCGCCAGTAAAGATTGGTCCGGGCATGGAGTAGTAGCAACATCAATCCCACTTTCTGCAAGATCGTTCGCCTTCGGCCCGACGTCAAAAGGCCCAGCTGCAGAGTGGCCCAGAGCCGTGCTGACGCACTCCTCCAGCGTGACTTCACTGCAGCGGTGGTGCGCCGATACAGCTCCTGGCTCAGCCCCTGGCCGAACCCAGCATGCGCAGTGTGCGCGTGCCCTCCACCAGGCGTTTCCGCTTCCCGCAGCTCCTCCGGTTTTGGCTTCGCTGCTTGCGCCGTGGCCTTCGGATGTCCATGGTGCCCATGCTCCAGGGCATCCAGCCTGGCGTACAGCTGCTTCACTCGACTGGTGGCTGGAGCACAACTCATTAACAGAGTTCGAGAGGACAGGAAGGCATTCCAAGCAGAACACACGATGAAGAAGTTCTGAACCTGAAGCAAGTGCTGCCCAACCACGTGCGCTTTTTGCTGAAAGCCATCTCCAGATTTCAAGGGAGATCGGGATCCAAGCATTGCAAAAGCAAACGCGGCCAGTTCAAGCAAACTTGCAGCCTGGGTAGCGTGTAGAAACAGCCATTCAGTCATCTCTACGGGAAACATGAGGCCATAGAGCCTGCGTGTAATGGCAGACACATCACGAAGAGCTTTTTGTAGAAGATCTAATTCAAAAGCCTCGCCCTGCATCATCAGGATGGTATCTGACCGTTGCTGGACTCTGAAAAAGTGCTGCTTCAGCCTGGCTTCAAAGTGTTGGAGCGAGGTCTGGACGGGCTTGTGATCAGCAGGATGAGTCCCCAATACAATCTTCACCGCCAACAGAAAGGCAGCAGGAGGAAACAAGCCGCCCAGCCACTTCTTATGAAGGATGGCCGATCCAGCGAAGACCGTGGTTTTCACCAAGGCCTTCCACGTATATAGATGAGGTTTCGAGGTTACATTTTGAATCTTTGTCTTGGAAGCTACTCTGAGTGGATGCTCGATAACTGGGGAGTTGGACAGTGGAGGCCACAAGAAAGGTACAACTAGGAAGCAATGCCAACAAGGAATTGGAGAGCCGAGGAGTGAAAAGCAAACCAAACAATTCTGAGTACATCGAGTCAACATGGTTTGTCTCATAGTTCCCTTATTGCAGTCATCCACACCCACTCCCGGCCCAACCTCAATTAATGCCACCGCTACCTCCGATGTTGCGCGTGCCATGTCATAGATGTCGCGACAAACATGCAGGTCTGCTTCAGATATGATGCTGTCCTTGGTCTCTGGATGAAGCCGATGAAAGTTCTGCTTCTGGAACAGCAATCGGTGGAGCTTGCGCGCAATGTTCTGCGTCCACTTGGTCGTGACACGCTGTTGGAGGCAGCCTGTGAGGAAAATGCTCGAGCAATGGAGCAGAACAAGCACTGGATATCTAAGAGCTGCCCTCTGCCACCGTGAGGAACCACCACGTTGCCATGTGAACAGCACGGCAAACACCGAAGATTTCCGCAGTAGCACCACGGATCCACCAAGCCATAGCACTGCGACCCCGACCAGTTCCGTCACCCCCGAATCACTGCTTTTGCGGCCCAACAGCAGCTCCAGCGTAGAGGGTTGCCGCGCCCGGCGGGATGCCGGCATCGATGCTGAGACACGCTATGAAACTCACAACAAAAGCCATGGCCGATCCGTTGGGAAGGCCTAGATGGACCGAGCTGAGAGCCAAGAACAGCAGGCCACAAATCTCACGGCACATACGCACTAGACACACCAGAAGCATCTGAAAACAGTGAATTCCATGTTGACTATGTTGACTCATGGCATTATAATAAATCTTAATGAACTGTCATCTGCAAGTTACCATGCTTGCCACTACAGTAGTACCCAGGGATGCTTCCGACAAGACATTGGTCTAGTCCGAGTGGCACATCCACGGCCATGCGTGCGAGCTTTTGATCCGAGACCGGCTTGCCACTGCACGATGCTCGAAGTTTCAAGAGTGCTAAGACCGCAGTGGGAACACGTGCTTCGACCAGCTTACCGGAAACCTTGTCCCGGTACTTGACAATGTCCGCCTCAGTAAAGGACAACTGAGATGTTGACTCAGAATCACTTGGTTCCAACGTCTCAGCATGCGGGTGAGAAACTTCTCACGACTACTTGCGATCTGTCAGGCTCTTCAACGCAACCCTTTCAATTTTTTTTACATTCACCCTCCTGGGAATGACAGAATCATCATGAACCATCCAGCTTCACCTTCCCAATCCATCCCTATCCCATCCTATCCCACCATTACAATCCATCGTGGTCTCGGTCCGTATCGGCCTGGATCGCCTTGGAGTGACTCAACGTCTTCTCAATTCTGTGGCGCGTGAGGCGTTGCTCGCCGTCACCCTTCACCGACGTCACGGGGCGGCGCTCCGGTCGGGTGGGCGTCTCTGGCTCGCGCGCCTGTCGACATCGGGGCCCGTGCCACTTGGTGGGGAGCAGATTCTCCAAGATCTACCCTGGTTGATCGATTACCCGCTCGATATGCTCAATGATTGTTCACTCCATCCCATCGCGATTATAGGATAGCTTGGGATCATCTTCCTGAAGTTGGGATAGAAAGTCAGAACAACTCTCAAAACAACCAAGCAGTACCAGATCCAGTCCAACTGTCGAAGAGGCTTGGAATACTTGTGTCTTGGATCCTCTGCATCATATCAACGGATGGGTCTAATGGAAAACCTACAGGAAAACATGTTTTTAAACCACCATGTTGAGGTCCTGTCCATTTTTCCATATCCATACTGCCATACTGCTTGGAAAGGCCTTCTCGTCTTCAGGCATGACGCCAGTGGTCAAAGCGATCCGCAACTCCTCTTCAAGAGTGTCCTCAGCTCAGAGAGAAGGTGGAAATCACCACAGCTAAGAAAAGTAAGTCACACATATATACACATATCATATAACCTTACTAAACTATAGCCTTATATCATCATGATAGCATGATAGTATATCATTATATATACGTATATATAAAGATATTATACTTGTGTGTGTGTGATATGATATTCTGTAGGCAAATCATGGCAAATCTATACATTATTCTACGTAACCTCTAACATCTTCTAATCATTCAGAAGTATTCATAACATGTCATAACCCACATGGCCACTATATGCCACTATTGGATCTATTGGATCTATTGGCCACAAAAACCGCATCCCCAGGCACCGACAGCTCGCGTCCCCGGAAGTTCCGCAGCAGCGCCAGCAGCTGCTCCGTCTTCTCGTCGCACCAGCTGCGAGGCGTTGCCAGGCGCCGGAACTTCCCGGGCCGTTCCTGTCCCGGGGATGGCTGATGGCACACTGATGGGGAAATGTTGGGCTGGTCATAGTACTAGAAATGGGAGGAAATGGGGGGGATTTGCACAACTTCACAATTGAAGCTCAATCCCGATTCAATACCCCAAAAGAACGGGAAAGAATAGGGAGGTGGTTTGCGATAAAAAGATATGTGTTTAAAAAAAGAGTCCTGCGGTTGACCCAATGCTTGCAACAAAAATGGGGAGGTGACCTCAGCGGAGTGAGACGATGCAGAGATGGCCAGCTCATTCTCCACGACTTCGGGTGTTCCAGTGGACCTCAGGCGGCAACACAGGAGCTGGGCTCAACCGATGCCAGCTCTGTAAACCACTGGGCTGTTTAACAAATTTAATAATTACTGTTCACAATCTCAATCAATCTCACATAACTTGGGGGGCACCATCATGCACCATCCAGCTTGATTAATTGACATGTCTCACTCTCTGAGGATGACCCTCCTAATCAATCGACCAAGGTAGGGACTTGTGCTGGCACGCGCGGGCGATGTCATTCTGGAGATCGGTAAATGCCTTGATAGCAAACAGCAATGGCCGCCCGGTTGGGGTTGGGCATTGGGTTCAGAATGATGAGTCGGGCTGTGATCTTGTACAATGTTCAACTCCCAAATGTATCTACACTTCGCAAGTCAGAGTCAACCTCACCACCAGCACCACCGTTCCACCTGTATGCGGCTCTCCTTGAAGCCTGCTGCATTCAGCGCGGCCCGCACCTCTTGCAACTCTTCCTTGCTTTTCTGGCAATCCAGTCCAGGATGGCCCGACGATCAAATGGGTTTCACTGAACATTTAGGGGGAAACTCAAAACCATTGATCTCAATAATGATCAATCATGTCTCCCCATTGAATTGCCAGTTTATGGGTATCCCAAGGTATCCCCCATTTCAGATGCGGCCAAATGAGGTAGCATATGGTAGCATGCTATAAACACCACTTTTGGACTGTAGTTGTGCCCAATTTCCTGGAAATGTCCGGGTGTGACTTCCGGTGAATGATGGCCAGACCTCGAACAGTTGATCTACGTGCTGGAAACTTTCAAGGGCGGATCTGCGGACTAAGATGCTGGTGCAAGATTTGCCAGGCAATTGCAGGAACGCACTCCGCATTGGGCTAGAACCATCTGGCAGCACATGTAATCAACTGGGGATGTATATCCCATGCCACTGGATCCAGAATCAAAGGAACTGAGCCCAGGTGCCCAACCCCAATCATGCGGCCTGTATTTGGACCAGCCCCGAGCAGCGAAGAGCTGATTGGAGTTTGGTTGAGAGGAGCTTCGTGACACTCGTGGCCGAGTCCTTCTCTAGGTCGGATTCCTCCTCCTCAGGACCACCACATGTAGCAAATTACCAAAAAAGTCGAAGAATCTAAAAATGTTGCCAGGGTCAAGCTCCAAGTGTGGATGCTGCAGGGATTTTGGAACTGAAGCCTGTTCTTCCAGCTACACCCCCGCTGTTGGGGCCATAACCACTCCATAATCAATCCCTAACCGGCCGTGCTGCCAGGTGATGTCAAGTGACACTGGCAGCGGAGCAGAGTTGTCGCAAGGCGCAGGTGTGGCCGGGGCCAAAGCCCACAGCCCTGAGCCGTTGCGATAACTCCTGGAGCTCCTCACCATTCAGTTTCCCCAAGCCTTGAACCGAAGCAACACATTGGAGATGGGCCGGCCGGGAATCGATCTTTTGCATCTCTAAGGGAATGATTGGAAATGGAAGGACGGAAACTTAGACATTGAGGCACCTGTTCGTATATATACATCTCTCCTAGCTATTAATATGTACCTTGCAGCTGGATGCTGGGTTCTGCTCTTAACATCATGAACCAGGATGACAGTCTTGCAGTGCATTCGCGCAAGATCTCAGGTGCTTTGAAACTCTGAGCCCCTAAAATCATTCCAGTCACCAACAATCACATCTAAGTCTCCGCCGTAGAGGTCTGGTTCTCGCCCTTGTCATCCCTTCTCAATCATTATTTTGTCATTATTTTTTCCAAAAGAAGATTATCTTCCAAAGCCAGTTCTAGGGGGCTTCATGTGCGTAAGTTTTCAGATGTGACTAGCTTCGCCACTCTTTCAAATTCGGCCCAAGGCACAACTAAATGTGAGAATACCCAGGTGTTCCAAGACAGCTTGAAGGCTCGACAAGCCAGCATCCGCCAATTGTTTCACCAGCTTCTGCGACATGACCTAAGTAAACTCTGGATCAGCACATGGCATTTATCTAATGATTTAATGTATCATAATGCATCTCTCAAGTTGAGACTATGATTTTCATTGATGTTCTATATTTTTCCAATCGCAGCTAGGAATTTCCCACTGCCTCGAATCTTTTTCGATGAAGATCTATCGAGATCTGGGCTTTCCAACTGCCTCGGCCTCTGGAAGCGCATCTTCCTGAGATTTGCTGATCCTTTTGAGGCCGCTTGTTTTGGGGCTAAATCAATGGAATTCCTCCAAAAAATTGGACATAGCTTGGGGACTATTCTGACTCTTGGGATCAATCAGCCCACGTGGATCCTGATTTGGAATCTCACATGACATTCCAACCAATCCCACAGAAATCATTGAAAAAGCCAAGATTAAGCAGGCGAACCGATTCTTTGCCACCGGGGCCAAACAGTAAGGCTTAGTCTTTAGAGACGTGCAGCGTCTGAGGGCAGCACATCATGAGCCATTTCCTGGGCGCTCTTCAGGGCCCTAAATTTTTCACTGTTACAGGCTCCACTTGGAGCTGAAAATGGCAGCACGCGGACGGCTCGAAGCGTATCACAAATCACACAAGAACTGCATGCGCATGTTTCAAGTGTCAAATCCCCAAGTTCAACATCGCTCTGTCAGTGCCTTTTCTTTCAAAAAAATGCTGACTCAAAAGTGATTGTCCAAGAATAGAGCTCAACTTACTCAGTGCCTGCTGGACCTGTTGCACCAGCATGGATTGCAAGCTCAACCCCGGCACCTTCACCTCAGCTGTGGCGTTCCGTTCGGCTTCCCAGAGCACCATCCCAGGGTCCCAGGGCCATCCGCTCCCGCCGGCACCAAGGGACGGATGGGAACGGAGTTTGCTGACACTCCAGCGGGGCATCCGTGCCCAGGATCTCTTGGGCGACCTGTTTTCCGGGCTGGGCACAACTGGGCATAGCTGGGTATAGCTGGGCACAGCTGGGCATGGGTCAAGATGGATACCTTGAAAATTGATGAAAATTGGATGGTCAATGGTTGAGAACATTTGAGAACTAGTACTGAGAAGCACTTTTTTCTCTGAAATGAAGCAGTTTTGCACAAAGATCGTGCTTTTCTTCATCCCATGTTGCTTGTATTGGGTTTGATTGCTAGTGAGACTAATTATATACTGCTATTGCTTGGAAATCTCTGGTCCACTGGTCAGTGCTTCTTTCCAGATGGACGAATATACCCCCGGGTGGTTCATACTTACAGTATCTTACAGTATAGCTGTTGTTTTTTCCAATGTGTTTGTGGTGATGACCTGGATTAACCATGCCAATCCCTCTCAAGAAATGACATAGTAGTCAAATTGCATCATCTGCCCCAAACTAAGTATGTGTTTCATGGTTTTGTCCTAGGAAAAACTGCAACCACCACTCACCCGACCATTTCAAGTGGAACCTTGAGCAATGCGTCGGCCGTGGAGTTCGGCACGGGCACCGCATCGTCTTCCAAGTCTGCCGCGTTCACTGCAATGACAATATCCTGGCGTCCAACCCAGGTGGATCAGGTGGATTGAAGATGGAAACATCAACAATTTCTGCAAGGCTGGTGACAAATGTGACGACAAGGGAAAGGAGAAAGTAAACTAAGTAAACAATCTGGTTTTGCAAGAAGTGATAGATAGTGATAGTCTTTCGGTGCCTATCCAAGGATGCATGGCATTGCGTGCCAAGGTGAGCTAGCCTCTATCGCTCAAAACTGTTGCTGCGCTTTGCAGGTACCATCCAATATAAGTAGAAAGATGTCTACAGTAGAACATTTTTATGCACTGATCTGTGCAAGTTTCTCAATATTGTATAAATCTCGAGATCCACATTTTCAGATTCCTCTTCATACGGATTCTAATACGCATGTGCCTGGAATGACAGGCAAACCCAACATCCGTGCCAAACCCTTGGCACCTTGAGCCCAGTGGGGGTGAAGCCAGCCAGGGCCTGGAAAGAGACATGTCTTAGTCACAGTCGATATCCCATTTTTGTAAACCGGAGGGGGGGAAACGTGAACACACCCTACACTGCCAAGGAACCATAGGCTTTGCAGCCCTTGCTGCCGTCGCATCTGCACCTCAAGTTGTGAGATGCAGGAGCATTGCCACGATCCAACCCATCTGAGATCCACTAAAAAATACCCTAGTGGAAATCCAGGGGGGTTCCAATGCCTTTGGGGACAACCCGATTTCAACTGAGGAATGGCTCTCACATGCTTTCGCCCTTTACCTGGCGCCCCCACTTTTTGCAGAATCTTCTAGGGCGCAGCGCATCATGATACCTGCCTCAGATGGGTGAAACGTGGTGAAATCAAAAATCTGTAACCCTCTCTGGGCTCCACACCACCTGTGGGGACAGTCGCCGCCTGGGCTGCCAGTTCTCAAATTGTACCAGTTGGCTTTGTGAAATGTCGCAAAAGTTCCTCCATTTCAAATTCATGGATTATCCACCATGAATGGGTGTCTGTACATAGTTTGTTGAAACACTATAAAACACTTTGGGTACTCCTAAACCTATTGGTTTGTCATCATGTTCATTCATTTTGACCATTAGAATTGCCATAAATTGATGTTCAATCAATGAAAATCCCCCATTTTCAGGTCCACACGCCAACATCCAACCCGGTTGGCTAGTTATATCATATATTATCATGATATCCCATGAATATCCCATGAATATCCCATGAATATCCCATGAATATCCCATGAATATCCCAGTGCAGCGGGAAAGCGTGACTTCAGGTTGAGGTTGCGCTGTGTGCGCCGGGTGCGCTGTGTGCGCCGGGTGCGCCGGGTGCGCCGCGTGCGCTGGGTGCGCCAAGTGCGCTGTGTGCGCCGGGTGCGCTGTGTGCGCCGGGTGCGCTGGGTGCGCCGCGTGCGCTGGGTGCG